CGCTTTAAATCAAAAGTAGTATAATTTAATTTTAATTGCTACTTGTAATTTGATGAAATTTTAGGGTTTGTCGTGAAGCATTATTTATATCAAAATCTTATTAAATTAACAAATTTGATTCTTTAAAATTAATTTATTCGTTTTTCCTACCGCAGCCTCATTTACAAAAACATACATGGCGGCTGGCTGCTCATGAAGATAAATAAAGATCAATTATTTATTTAATTGTTAAAATAAGCAATACTTAACAATTCTACAAATGTCGAATGATCATTAGCTTGGTGCGTGATACTTCATATTATCAATTATTATTTGTGTAGCTGGAATTTTAAACTTGAAAAACTTTTAAAAATCCTCTCTAAATTGAAATCCATGTCTGCCCAAATAGAGGACTTGCTGTCAGTTGGTCAGTTAATCAAAGACAAATGGAAAGTTGTTAGTTGCCGTTTTTCTAACATTTTAAAAGTTTTTTTATTGCTTTACAATTATATTGCCTGTTTTAGTTTAGAATTTTTTTTTCAATACAACGAATGTAAAAAATGCATTGGATTTGATTGAATCATTTATTAATTTTTTTATTCAAGTTTTAAGAAATTTTACTATTTCTTAATTTTTTCTTTACTAAATAACTTAAAAATTGAAAATTAATTGTACCTACTGTGGCATCTTTTTGTAAAATCAAAATGTCATGCCCATTACATTTCACATCAACTAATTATTCATTAAAAAAATTAAATGATATTTACATGAAATTTTTCAAAAAATCAATAAATAAATAAAAATTGCCACCACAAAATTATAATTATACAATAGTTAGTTTTTATAGTTATGCAAAATTAATAACTTGTGTTTAGTAATTAATTTATTAATAGCTTATGAAGATGCTTATTAATTTTTTTTTGCAATTGTGATGGATGTTGTGTGTGGAAACATAAAGGAGGGGTTGTTATTTGAGATTTTGTATGCAGATGATTTAGTCTTGATGGCTAATAGCATGGAAGAATTGCAGTTAAAATTTGACAGGTGGAAAAGTGTTATTGAAAAGAAAGGGTTAAAAGGGTTGGTAAGATGAAGGTAATGGTGAGTGGGGAAGGTGGGGAGCGAGTGATAAGTAAAATAGACCCCTGTGGGGTATGTGACAGGAGAGTGAAGGCTAACTAGGTATTGTGTATAGGATGTCAGAAGTGGGTGCATAAGAGATGTAGTGGTGTGAGGGGGTCACTGAAAAAGGTGGAAGGCACATTCAAATGTAAGAAATGTGTTCATGGTGTGATTAAGATGACAAATGGTAAATAAATGGAAAAAATAAACATAAAGCAAACACTGACTTTTGCATTGCATTTGTTTTGCAGATAAAAAAAATTGGTGGCGGGGGATTTGGTGAAATATATGAAGGTGAAGATTTAACAACAAAGGAAAGAGTGGCATTGAAATTAGAGTCAGCAAAACAGTCAAAGCAGGTTTTAAAAATGGAGGTAGCTGTTTTGAAAAAGTTACAAGGTGGGGTTAAATTAATTTCTTTTTACTTTGTTTTTTTGAACCACACTAATGAATTTAGTTGCTTCTTGTGCTTCATTGATTAACTAACACATCAATGACAGATAAATTTTTATCAATTAAATAAAATTTGTTTTCATTTTTTATCAATTTCATAGAAATAGTTCTTTTTAATTCAAATATTTATACTATAAAGTTTTGAATAATGAAAAATATCAAGACTATTTTAGTTTAACATTAACATATAAATATTAAGGTAAAGAACATGTCTGTGCTTTCATATGCTGTGGTAGGAATGAAAGATTCAATTATGTCGTCATGTCGTTGCAGGGTAAAAATTTAGCAGAACTGAGGAGGAGTCAGCCAAAAGGTTGCTTGACACTAAGCAGCACATTAAGGATCAGTTTACAAATCTTGTATGCAATTGAAGCCATTCATTCTGTTGGATTTCTTCATAGGGATATTAAACCGGTTTGTGATTTTTATTCTGTTTTTAATGAATATTCATTCAAACCCTTTACTTCCATTTATTTTTACAGTCAAATTTTGCCATGGGTATATTGTCAAATACTTGCCGAAAAGTATATATGTTGGACTATGGACTGGCACGACAGTATGTTAATCAGTACGGTGAGGTGAGGCAACCCAGAACTGCAGCCGGGTTCAGAGGAACCGTCAGATATGCTTCAGTTAATGCTCATAAAAATAAGGTTTTTTTGCATTTGTGTGTGTTATTTCATGAATTGCTTTGTCGAACTAGGTCACATGAATAAACTTTCATTGTTTTATCTTTTTGTAATAAATCGCATGGAGTGGAAAGGAAAAGTAAACATTTTTCAACTTATAAAATAATAATGTCTTAATAAACCATTAGGAAATGGGTCGACATGATGACTTGTGGTCTCTCTTCTACATGATTGTGGAGTTCATAACAGGAGCACTGCCATGGAGGAAGATCAAAGAGAAGGAACAGGTTGGAAATTTGAAAGAGAAGTACGACCACACATTATTTCTGAAGCATCTGCCTGTGGAGTTTCGTGCCTTTCTGAATCATCTGCAGAGTCTTACCTACACTGATACTCCTCACTACGCTGCTCTGCAGGGCTTGCTGATGCAGTGCATGCACAGGAAAGGCATATCTGATGCTGATTTGTTTGACTGGGAGAAAATACCAACTGAAATGTCAACATCAAACATCTCATTCACGACGCAAGCAGCGGTGAAGGAGGGCGACATTAACGTTGAGTTAGTTATCAACATTTTATATGATGTCAACATTTAATTAATTATTTTTGAATTAAAAATTTCAAACTAGTCATCGTGGATCGCCATTGCATGTTGCCACGGACACGAACGTTGAGGAGATAAACTTCACATGCCTTGAGAACAGACCACTGATGAATATCAACGTCAATAACAATTCCAACATTAACTTCAATGACATCATCAACAACATCAACAACAACATCAACCACGAATCTGAGCCCTTAAAATCACCGGTAGACAACGAGATGGCATATTTGCAGCATATGAACATAACTGGAACCCACTCCCATGCTGATAACAATAATATCAATAACAATGGTTATCATCATCAGAACAACACACTGAAGCAGAACAATGGCTGCTGTGATCATTCAGAAAGAGTGAAGACACAAAAGGAGAAGAACATCTTGAACAATTTAAACAATGCATTTGTCAATTTGAACGTCCCTGTCACTCCGACTGCTGTCAACAAACCTTTTTCTGGTCCGCACTCTGAACAGCTGCACGTAGATCCACAGTTGCATCTGCTTGACTGCCAACTGAGGAACATTTTGAAACCTCCAAGCAAAGAAGATAGTCAGCCACAAAGTGAGCTGAGCTGCTTTGAGAAGGGACTGCATTCCAGAAGACTGCAAACGACCAGTAGAGATCGACAAGCTGCAGATGAAGATAATTTGATGTGTGGATCACTGGCTATGGATGCTGCCATCAACAAAGGCAAACTGGAACTGTTAGAAAATGTTTATGATCAGGAGAAATTAAATTCAAGCAAAACTGAGATTAACGCTAATGTTAAAAAGAATCAGAATTTTGAGGAAAATCGAAGGTTGTCTATGGTTGACTCTGGAGATGAGGTGATGTTTCAAGAACGAAAAGATCTTCAGAGTGTTTTCAGCAAAGAAGATGAACAAAAGGCAGAAAGTTCTTTATTTGGCAGTAATGCTCAAACAAATGAGTATATGTCATCAGCTAATGCCAACCTCGATGACCATGCTACCAGAGCTGCTCCGTTCACGATGGCAAGTATCTTTGCTTCTTTGGGGTTTAGTGACGAAGAAAGTGATGTGGATGATGCAGCTTGCAAACAACACCAACAACATATCTTCCAACAACAATTCAGCCTGCAACAGCAACACTCAGATGAGAATGTTGCCAGTTTGAAAAGCAGCATGTCCACTTCTGCTGATAAATATCATGGATTTCAATTTTTAAAGTTTATTGAGGCAGGAAGAGATAAGCTGAATGAAAAATTTACTCATAAAGATTTTTCTTGGAAGAGAAGTTGCACACAGGAGTTCAGCATGAACAACAGCAGCAGAGCCTGCACAAACAACAACAGCAACAACAACAATGCAGATGTCCTTGCCATAATGCAGCGAGATAGTGATTATGAAAATATAATTAATAACAATGATGTTAATTACAATACATTGAAAGCCAATAAAGAATATAAAGCAGTAAAAGGAACACCAACAAAGACAGTAAACTTGGCATGCAACTCAATTCACAACGCCATTGAGAGGAGTGATGCTCACCAGAAACATTCTACATTGAGGTCAGATCACAACGTTGTCAACTTGGAAGCTTGCAAGTCAACAACATTCAATACCAGAAGTCCCAGTTCACCCGCCCGTCTGTCTAATTTCACCACAACTTTATTGGATCAAAGCTATCCTCCATATGAGGTGATGATTAAAAACAGCCAACCTGCATTTGTCAGCAAGCATTACCTTAGTGCAGATACCACAGCAACAACGTATACAACTAAACGCTATCAAACATCTCAACTGGAGAATCCTTCAACATCTGCTGCCAGATATTCGGAACCTAACAAGTCCAAATTGACTCTATCTAATGTCTTGAAAACAAAACCACCATTACGTAAATCGTTGCAAGCTCAACAGAGTTCAACCTCCGGCATCAAAAGGCTGTCCATGCTGGATGTTGAGAATGAAAATGTGAGTCTGGACGTTTTGATGCAGTACATACCGGATTCAACTCCAAGCATTGCAACGATTAATTCAAATAATTTGTTTCAAGATGCAGGAGGATCTGGTTCCACTAAAAAATGGCCCTTTTCAACATCTAACTTTGGCTGGTGCTTCAATAAATTTAAAGCTCAACAGAATCAATATCCTCTTTCCAGACTAAACAGTCATGACCATGAGAAGAAATCGCATTCAGCAAATGTTTTGAACAGTGAGAAGAGGAGAAGTCATTCCCTCGGTCCCAACAATGGAAATAACGTGCCGCCACATCCGGAATGCTCGTCTGCATCATCCAGTCCTGAGCATAGAGTCATTCAAAATGCCAACAATGTTGTAATAAACAAAAACATCAATAATAATTGTAATAAGAAATTATGTGATTCAAGTTCTAATGCTGCTTTGCCAAGGTAATTAACTAATTTTTCATTAATTTCGTAAATTGATTCCCTCAAAATTAAGCAGCATTGCATAGTTTTCCAAAAATCACATTGACAGGCGTAGGAACAACTTCTCTAGCATCAACAAAACTTCCTTTCACAGCAATTTTCCTCCATCAGGATCATGAAACATCAAGAGAGCATGAGATCTCAAAAGAACCCTAACCTACCCATACACTGTTTCTAATGTTCAAATACATATACAACATATGTAAAATGCTGCCAGCTTATTATGTCTTCATCCATGTTTTTGTGATTGTACATAACATGTTTCATCAATCTATTGTTATCAAATAAGTATTTATTTGTTAGTGAAACATTTCATGTTGTATGTCCGTGGTTGTTACATAAATTATCGTTTTTAATATACACTGCACTTCATTATCAAATTAAAATTTCATCATTTAAATTTTGTCAATTGTTTGTCCGTACAATATGTAGAAAGTTTTAATGTTATTGAGCCTGTTTAACATTCCATTGACTGCTTTCAATGCTTGTTAGTTTCTATCACGTTTCGTTTAATTTTTTTCATTGCATCTCAACCAAAATCTTGACTCCCCATTTTTTTATGATCCAATCACACAAATACACACCAACTAATTTTTTTTTAAATGGTTCAACATTTAAACAAGAATTCCATTTAATTTTGTTGTTGCAAATAGTTGTTGTTTTCATTGTTGTTGTGCATTTTGTGCCATTGTCATATTTTAAATATCTTATTCATGATCCATATTTACCAAACTAAAACAGTTCGATTTAATGTAGTGACTGACAGTACATGGATTTTGTTTCATTGTTTTTTATAGCTAGTCAACTAAAAAATGTTAGTTTATTTGTTAAGGTGTTTTTATTTATTTTTATTGTTAATTATTTCAATATATGCCAGACACGGAACGCGTGATATTAATTGATACATACACTTATTTGTTGTTTCATATCATTCACCATTGTTGGCACATGTTGCAAATCTGCTCTTGATTTGCTTTTAAAAATACTTATCAATTGAAAAATCTGAAATATCTGTAATGTGATAAAATTCGTCAAATGATTTTAATTTGATGTGCTCTTGTTCTATAAATTTTGTGAAAGTATTGCATGCATCTTACTTTCCAACATATTTAAAGTGTAAAAATGTATCATTTCAGTTCCATTCTTGAACATTCCAGCACGAGTATCAGTTGTATCTGCATTTCTCTATTTATATATGAAATTTGTTACGTTCGTTCATATTTTTTTTCTGTGTACAGTTCATTTATATACAGTAGTTTGACTAACGTGTAATAAGAAGTGTTTTGCATAGATTGGATAAGTTTGGTTGCGTATGTTATGATTGGAAAAGTTGTTTTTGGTTGTGCATAAGTCCGGAATAACAATGCTATCAAATCTCAGTAAATAGGCTTTGAAGTGTTTTTCAACAAGTTTTCGTTTCTGAAATTTTCAAATAACTTTGTTGAATATGTTGTTTACATTCACGGCAAATTCATTGTGATGAAAGTGAGCGCTCTTTAAACGAATGCATTGAATTCAATTCCATCGCTGACTCATACATATTTTTATCAGCACATTGAGTTACATTACATTAGTTCGCTTGCATTCCTCAGTGACGAGACACTGCAAATTTATTGCCGTGCCAATCGTGTCGGACTACTTCATTGAGTTATTAGTTAAATTTTATTTATGATTTTAATGGCTTCTTCTTTAAAGAGATATTTTTCTAAATAGTTTATACTAGAGCTGTTTTTGTGCTTGTTAAGTTGTAATTTTTGTTAGTTAAAATCAAATGACATCCTGTATTTTATCTAGTCCCTTATTTTTCATCAACCGTCGTCTTTTAATATGCTCCAGGGCATATAAGAATACTTGCGGCATACATACATATATTTATTTTATTTTTATGCTTACAATAATTTTTATTTATACGTTTACGATACGTTATTTACAGTGAAAATTTAATTTAGGGTTTTTTAATTCTCGTTTTTATCAGATTTTGTAACCTACATTATATTTGTATCATCTTCACTCACATGAATCCTGCTATATCTTAAAAATTTTAATTTTATTAATTGCCTGAGTTTCAAGTTGAACTATACTGGCTCTTCACCCTCGTGTAATTATTTGGTGGATACAGTTAATGTATCATTTACAACTTCTCTCTCCACAAATATTCTACAAATGCCCTTTTAAGTTCTCACATATTTTTCTACTAATATTACTAACGCGTCACTTTTTTATGGCTATAGTTCTTTGTTTTTAAGTAAAAACATATGGGAAACATAGATTTGAGATTCATTCTTGACATTGGTTAATTTGCAACACTGTACAATTAATTCAGTTTTTGTTATACATTAGGTCAGATATTTTGATTCAATCAAATCAACTGTTAGTTGTTTTACTATGTATTCCATTTAATTGTTCCGAAAAAATTTTATTATTACATGTTGGTGATTTGAATGCAGTCAGTTATTAGATTGTTCATGATCTCATAAATAATGCAATTAACGATGTTAATTTTATCTGAGTTGTCAACTTGGGTTCTTTGAATCCTCTATTTTGTTTTAATTTTTTATTATAATTTATGGAGATATTTTAATTCTGTACCATGCCTTTTTCACTTTAAGAAGTATTTTGTCTATTATTGCGTTAGATGTTATCGAAACAGTTTATTTATTATGTGCACCTGTATAAACATTGCCGTTGTCGAGTTATAATGAAGTTTAGCTTGTTTAAATCATTTATTACCTTGTCCAACTAGGATGTTGCACAGTTGGTCTTTGTTTTTCTTACAGTTATTTCATTGTGGAAAGTTACCTGTAAGATACACATTTCATTTCGTTGGAGAATATAATCAGAACGAAATTTTCTGAAAAAACTTTTGTAGACTATATTTCATAGTTCCCCCTGCCTACATATTTTTCTCAGTCTCGACGAGATCATTTAACAATGCATCTAATATTTCCTTCGGTAAACCTAGTGAAACTGCCCATATGTTAACAATATTATATATATATATATATATATATATATACACACACAAATATATATATATTTGATAAAATCTACCCAATTTTTAGCTTTTGAAAGTTTACAATTGAGCTTTTCAATATTTCTAACAGTAATTTTATACTTATTATCCAATTTATTAAAATAAATAAGAAAGTCGTTGGTGTACGTTGTGAAGGCTATATTTCGATTTTACTCATCATCGGCGCTTATATAGGGATATTTCAAGGTTTTACAATTCTCTGTGTGTGCAAAGTGCTTTTATTCTGCTTTGTCCTGTTCGTTTATTAAATCTTTGTCCTGTCTGTTTATTATATCTTTGTTCTGTTCATTCTCTTTGCTTGTAAAGTCTTTCAATGATATTCTTCTGGTCGGTAATGATGTTGCTATTCTTTGCTGCTTGTTAATTTGCGGTTTTCTTAGGTCACTGAAGATCGCTTCAACAATTCTTAAATGGTTGGGGTTCTTGTTACCGTATATTATACTAGTATTGTTTACTAATATCTCGTGATTGGATCGTTTGATATATATATATATATATATATATATATATATTGCTGAGTTTTTGTCGTTCATTTAAAATTACGTTTATTGCCTGGAAGTCAGGATTATATATACACACACACACACACACACACACACATATATATATATATATATATATATATATATATGTTTGTTTTTACGTAAGCATTGTTTGTTTAGGTAATTCGTCAAGCAAATCTCACTTATCTTCCTGTTGATTTTTCGCTTCTGTTCAATTTTATCCGGTCATTTCAATTTAAATGGTTATTCACAATGTTAATTTATTAGCAATAAAAATTGTCATAAATCATATTTTTGGCGATATATTAATTTTTGCACCGACAAACCAATTTCTATTAACATTTTGTTCATTTCCTTATAAAGTCAATGCGTCCAAAGCTTCGTTTATCGTGTTTTGATCGTTCTCTTGTTAATTTTGTGAGTTGTGACTCACGATGATTCTTTTTTTTCGTTCGCTCATGCTAACTTCAGTCTTACCTTTTTCCTTCAATCCAAATCCTACGTCTGCACGCCCAATCTATATTCTTTTACATTTCCAAACCGCTTTAGTCTTCCCTTTCGAACTACCAAAGTGAAATTTTCAAAGTGCTTATCATTTTATCACCCCTATTAATTTTCACCTTTTATTTTCTTCTATAAATTCTCGTGACTTGTTTTTGCCAATTTATTCAACTATTTCGAAATCAGCGCTGAAGTTTCGTTTTTTACATCATGCAAATTCTTCCATATCTCTTATAACAACATTTTTATAAACAAAAACAAACTTTGAGAACACCCTAGTCTTGCTCCACGCAGGATCAACACTTAGTAATGCATCCAAACATTTATTCTAAGTAGGATTATCAAATCAGACAAGTCCCTTAACATCTCTCTTATCTCAAGTTGCTTAAATCAGAATTTGTATAGGAATTTTTATGAAAAATGTAAAATTTGTAATCATTAGCAGAAAAATTGTTTTGTAATAAAAAATGATTGAACGAAGTATAAATGATGTAAATGAATCAGAGTGATTTATGATTAAATAACTTCAGTCTCAGAAACAAATAAGATCTTCAACTATGAAAAAATATATTATCTTACCGAATAGTTAATGTTCAAGATGATTCTGCGAAAAAATAAAATAATTTTTATTGCCTTTACGTATCTTCATGACTTCTTAGCATCGGAATTGTGCTATAATACTGAAATTTGTCGTTGACCGGGGAGCAATTGTTTCACGTGCAATCATTGACATAACTGCTCTAAATAAGGTTTATAGGTTTACATTACAAAAAAGAGCAATAGGGTAATTTCTTTTAGTGAAAAAGTTCCATGCAATAGAAACGTTTACGATATGAATGTTATAAGCCAAATTTGTCCAAACTATCGTTCCCAGCTTACATGACGTGCGTGTGTAACTTACCCAACTTGCTTTGGATAGATCAAAATAGAGTATTTTAAACTTTGCGTCTAGACAAGTTTTTGCGACATGTTTAAAAGGAAGTTGCAAGCGTTGAATTTTCACACCCCTGATCAAGATTTAGAAGGCAAATAATTATTGTGTTTTTCTGTTAAAAACTATTTCTTATTACTTTTTTTTACAAGTGGATGTGCTGCACTGGCACTATGTGTTCTTTTGCTGGTGTGACAGTGCAACTAGTTATGGTATAGTAAGTAGATCAGAAGTTAGAATGGTTCTAATTCAATAATTCTTGAATATTGGCACGTTTGTTCCTATTAAAATTTTTTCTTTTAATTATTATTATTTTTTTAATTTTATTATTTAATTTTTACTTCCACTGAAAAAATGAAGCAGAAATTGAAACGTTATTAATGATTAATAACTCTACTCTCTCAACTCTCTAAACTAAGAATAATCCAATTCAACTTTTTAAAAACCTTTTAAAAAATGAAGAGTATATTATATGTTATTTTTAATGTATCTCTGAGTCTTAACTTTATTTCACAAAACCTTAGTACTAGTACTAGTAAAATAAAAAGAGTTTGTTTGCTAAATTATTAATCAATGATTAATCAATAACAAACTTTTTTGTTTGATCTAACATAACTAAACCATAGCACTACTTAAAATTTTGCTTGTTATGTTTTTTGAATTACATTTGAATTAAGTTAATCAAACTTTCCAGAAGAAAGTAATTTCAGAAACTTTGTTTGCTGGCTGGAAGACAAAAGAATAAATCATTATCAGCCCGATGATCGAGCTGGCTTGAGAAAAATTTGTGCTGGTGACTGGGAGAATCATTTTTTGAAGGTTCTGTTTATTTATTTTATATTCTTAATACTAACTTTATATTTTTTTAAATATTTTAATATATTTGAAAATGTCTGTTTTTAATTAATAGTTAACTAAATTGAAAATCTGCAAAAATTAATATACTAATTTAGAAATATACTTTTGTAATGTTGGCATATTTTTGCTTTGCTCAACTCAACAGTACCTAAATGATCTCGGTTGCCCAGTCGATAGTAAAGAAAAGATCTTGGTAATTAACTGGCTGCTGTCACTGGCTATTAGATTGGAATATGGAAATAAAAGTAGGACATTTATTATTTAATTTACATTTATTGAAATAAATTTAACACCCATTTTTTCAAATATTTTGAAAATGTGATTTTCAAAAATTTTAAACTTAACTAGCTTAATTTATATTTCATATAAAGTTTCATAATACAATTACAGTTAATAAGATGAAAGTTACATATGGTAGTGGATCAAGTTCTTGCAACCCTTTGGAGAATATGGACTGTTGGTGCATTTTCTTATTTCAATATAAAATTGGTTGATTCATTAATATTTGACATGCTTACATTTAAATTTAATTTGACCTATTAAGTTATCTTAGTCTAATGGGTATTATTTAATTATCTTAGTCTAATGTCACACTTTGTCTGTTGTCAATTTACCTACAATTTCAATAATCACATTTCCATATTTTTTTCAGTCACATCAGAGGAATTCAGAGCAGGTGTGACGTCACTGGGCAAGATGCTCAACATGCCACCTCACAATGATTCTCTCACTCTTCTCAGGGTTTGATGTGCTTTTGTTTGCTCTTTCAACAGTGCTGTTAAATGCTGAAACTACCGTATAACTCATTTTTAGTAGATTTATTTTCTCTATTGAAAAGATTTTTTATCTTTAGACAAAACCAAAACCCCTTCTTAACGTAAACAGTTTCATGATATGATAGATAGGATAGATGGCTCTTTCATGAAAAAACAACTTGCTTTACTGTTTTGGATATAATGTTGATGACAAATGAAATAGATAAATCTTAATTTTTAAACAGTGGTTTTACAATTTATCATGCAAATTTTTCCCAACGAGATATTTTTAATTTTTAGATTTTGGAGTTAATTTTTAAAATTTGACTTGGTTAATTCAAAAATATCATACATTCTGATTCATTAGTTCTCTAGATCTCTGACAGTTTGAAGTATAATTAAAGGTTATAGGTCATTTTCTCTCATGTATTATTTAAAGGTACCGGCAGTACACTCACTCACACACGCACACGCAACATATGTGAATACGTGCAAAATTACGCATCACATACGCATATGATAGGGATTTCTTTTTGAAATTGAACTCAGCCATTATTGCATTGCAGGGCATGGCACTTTTAACCGTTGCACCACCAATTTAATTGTTGTGAATATGTTTTTGTTAACCAGGCTATTTGCTTGCTAGTTAAAGAAAAACTATCTAAAGATGCTCTAGAGAGATTGAAAAAGCAAGGAATAAAGGTAATTTTGTTTATGCTAACTTTAAATCATTGATTAATTTTATATCCTTGTATTTTTATTTTATTTTCAGCAGGCAGCGTCGATATCTCTTGATAAAATTGATTTGGGTTTTGAAACTCCAGGTTTCAATTTACATATTTCATTACTTTAAAATTGAATGTTGTTGATAACTCTTAGATTTATAAACGTGTAATTGTAATGGCTACATAATATATAGTTGTTATGATCCCATTCTATTTTTCTTTGCGTAGATAACGGGACTGTAAAATTATGCTTTTTTCTTGAAATGCTTATTTAATTGACTATGTTCATTTAATTTGATAGATTTGATAACGAAAGAAGCTGGGAAGATTTTGCGCCTCTTATACTTGAAAGAGTTGAGAGAGCTGCAAGACTGCGCCAATGAAGCCATAGTTGCCGCGCAAGCCATTACCGCCAATCCAAAAACCGACTCGAGATTAGGAAAAGTCGGATCATAGAATTTTGTGACTAGCAATTTAACAATTGCTAGCAATCTAATTATTAAAAAATTATTTTTCGTTTTTTTCTTCAAAATAATTTTTTCCTAGCAAATTTTTATTGTTCAATATGTGTATAATTTTTATAAATTGTTACATTTTAATTTTGAAAATGCACCTATGAGTATGATTCTATGTATATGCCTACGGGTGTTTGAAAAAGTTTTTAGGGTTATTGTAAAGTATTTATTGTGAAGTATTAAAAATCAATCATTTGGATAAACATGGTTCCTTTCTTTTTTTCAGCAAATTATGTCTCAAATATTTTTTCTATTCGCTTATCTTTAGTCTTAATGGTTTCTCCTGTTGGCTAGCATGCTTTTGGTAATTGTTTAACATATATTTAAACTTATTTCCCTCATTCTTTACATTTACACTTATTTTTCGGCTTATCTGCGTAGTTGATTGACTACATTCTTTCAAGTTAGCCCCACCAATAAGCTGTCATATCCCGACCCTCGTACGTGTATAACATTGAACTAACTTTATTCATTCAAATCTGCTAAAATAATTAGTAGAGGCTGCTTGCTTGGCTTTATCAACGTGGACTCCATAGAGACTCAGCTATGGTCATTGAATACACATGCATACTTACACACAAATAGGCGAAAAAAATTTTTTTATTTTGAAAATCAAAAATTTAATTTTGCGGGCGCTTGTTTAAAAACGCATTGAATCCGCATCTGCGGCAAACCGCACAGAAAATCCGCGGAATTTTGTGAATTTTTTATCCGCGGTTGCGATGCGGTAACCGCGGTTTGAAACTGTATTGCGGATATCCGCTTAGGGCTCTAATTCAGGCCCAAATGATTCTTACCGAACATGTACATCACGACAAGCGAATTCTCATCCATCTCCGAATGAAGATTTTTGTCCATCTGCGCTAATTTTGTCTGTGAAATGAATAAGCGTGGATGGTGAAATTTTAAACTGGTAATGCCCTATCAAATCTCCCATTAAAATTTTCTGCAAGCAAAAAAAGCAACGACGTCACGCACCCATTATATAATGCAAGGAAACTCCAGCGGGTGATCGATTACAGCGTAAAAAGACGGCGTAATAAATTGCTTCCAAATCAGCATTCAGATCAAATGCTTCATTTCACTTCTGATGTGTAGTTCAATAGAGTGGGCCTAAGTCGTGTTAACCAAAATATTGAGGAATATTGGCAACTAATTTACGATTTTTGCTGTTTATGTGGAAATAATCAAATGAAGAGTAACAATATAATATCGACGCTGGATTCTTGCATGCATTTGCATTTGCACGGCTTGGGCCGTGACCAACAGGTTATTATAAGTAAGTAATATTTATTCTGTATTATGTATGGTAATAGGTAATAACCGCTGAGTGATTTTTTTAAATTTTTTTCAAAATAATTTAAACATAAGCTTACTTTTAAAATTAATCTAATCCACTTTTAAAATCTAAACAGTCCAAACGACCTGGACGATCATACACAAACAGATCATTGATCAATCAGTCCGGTTGCACACCTACTTGCATTCATTTATTTTTATATTTTTAATTTCACACGCATACTTGTCTATTCGTTTTGGTTTTCAGCAATTAGGTATGTTCAAATTTAATTATTATGCTCTTTCTACATTCAAAAGATTGCTTTCCGGTGATTTAATAAGTAAAAGTTTGAAAACATTTCCCACAATTCAATCTACAACAAAAACTAACCTGCGAGCGAGTTTACGCTTTTTTAGAACTTATCCGACAAAAACAAACAATGAGACAAGATCATTGACAAAACTTCTTCAAAAAGCAGCAGCAGGGCGTTTTGCATCAACAGACGTTCGCCAGCCCGCCAAAACTTTGTTCCCAGTAAAAGATTCAGTTTTGATTAAACGTTTACTTACGTTAGCAAAACCAGAAAGAGCAAGGCTATGTGGTTTGTTTTTACTTGAATTTAATTTTAATTTAAAAAAAAAACTAAGCACAAAATTATTATATTATTTTATTTGTTCTATTTTATATTTGTATTTTTCTTTTCATCATGTTTGTATAATAAATATTAAAAAATGTATATGTATGTGGTCTTTTTATAATTTTTTTTAAATTATTATTTCGGACCTAACCATAAGTCATAAGATAATCCTATGAAACTTATTTCTCATTATATTATATCACTGAAACAGTTGCATTGACCTTATTGCTCATCTCGAGTTGCGTTACTCTGGTGGTTCCCTTTGGGATTGGCAGGGTGATTGACATCATTTACACGACATCTCAGGAGGAGGTTGTTGACAAGCTGTCCAAGTTTTGTGGAGGCCTTCTGTTCATATTTGTGATAGGAGCAATTGCCAATTTTGGTAGAATTGTAATAATGCAAACATCAGGTAGTAATTTTTTTATTCCTTTTCATGTAAAAATGTTTTGAAATTATTTCAGTAAACCAGATTAGCTTAGTTTATGTTAATCAAATGAAAAAGTTCATTTGTAATATTAAAAATGTAATTAGTGCAATATAATTTGTAATTGAAAAGTTTTTTAAATGCGATGAAATCATTATTTTTAAAATATCTCTTCGGATACATATCATCATTGAGTTTTTGTCAATTATTTCAGGAAACAGAATAATCAAAAGATTGCAACAGACATTATTTGGTTCATTGATGAAACAAGATATATCATTTTTTGATAAAAACAAAACAGGTTTTGCTTATTTCGTTTGTTAAACATTAAAATTTATTTACAATTAAACCATGTTTGTATGGGGTCAATCACCTAATTTATTTTTTAGTTTTGTAATGTGATATGACTTTGAACATGATTAAATGTGATGATATTAAGCATGATTAAATGTGATATGATATTGAATGTGATTAACAGGAGAGTTAATGAACAGACTATCAGTGGACACAGCTTTGGTTGGCAACACATTAACAATGAATATATCAGACGGTCTGAGATCAGTTCTTCAGGCCTTTGGTGGTGTTTCATGGATGGTAACAACTTTTTTATTTTTCTCTAGTTGATGTTTTTATGTTTTATTTTTATAACACTCATATGAAATTCGAATTGAAAGGTATACACCTGTCCCCAGCTGGCTGCCATCTCCATGTGCATCGTCCCTCCACTTGCCATCCTCTCCAGATTGTATGGAAGGTTTGTGAAGAACATAACGACGAGCGTCCAGGAGGCTCAAGCGTCTGCTGCCGAGGTGCCTTTTTTTATTTTTTTAACCATTTCTTTTAACATTATTATTTAAATTTGTTATGCTTACACATTTGTTTGATTGATATTTCGAGTTTCAATTTTTTAAATTTCGTATTAAAAAACTACTTTAAGAATTTTATAGCATGACATTATAAAAAAACAAGAAGGAAGTTCAAAACAAGCACTCTTATGTTCAGTCGATGCCTTATTGAAAGAGTTCTTTTCTAATAACTAAACGGTGTGTGGGCAAACAATCACGCAACACTTAAACCGTTACGCTTGATCCCGACTGCACTTGATCCTGACAACGCTCAACCTTACTACATTTGGTCACGAATTATTGGATTAATTTACTTCATTTTAACATCCCCAGTGACAACAGTGACTACATTATAATTTGGTGCATGTTTTTATAAAGTTTCTATAAAATAAATTATAATTGATTTTCAAAAATAGTTCTTATCCAACAAAGTGATTTAAAAGCGTTCTAACTTTCTTCTAGATTTTTCATTATGTCAATGCAAAAATACTTTTCCAGCTTACACTTTATATCGTAAAGTAAATTTCCAGAAAATTTAAAATAATTTTGTTTGGAAGCTTGAGTTTTTTTTCATTTAAGCCGAATAAAGTTTTGGTATAAAAATTTTTTATAAAATTCTGAAACTTTTGAACGAAAGTTCTCAGCAGTAGTTAAACGAGTAACAATTAATTCATATCTTATTATCGATCATATCTACCAAAATGCTTAAATACTGATATCATTACATTAAATTTAAACAAGCATTACAAGAATGTAATAATTTATAAAAAAAAAATAAATAAACGAGTTAGTTTTTTTTAAATTATATATTTCTAGCATATCTATTATTTTCCTATGCAGATAGCGGAAGAAAGAATATCAAACATCAGAACGGTGCAGGCTTTTGTTCAAGAGCAGAAGGAAAGAATGCTTTACAATGAAAAACTCAATAATGTTTTGGCTCTTTCATTCAGGGAAGCCATCGCAAAAGGAGTATTCTGGGCTTCGGTCAGTGTACCATTGCACCAACTCTCTTATAATACATAGAACTATTTCTTAAGTTTTTTTAAACCGTTGTTAGAATATTTTGAAATAACCTTTCTGTATTATTCCCTAATTATCTTTGTTGTATTTCAAATACACCAGACGGGTTTTTCAGGCAATCTGACCGTTTTGTTGTTGTTTTATTTTGGTGGAAAAATGGTTAGCACCGGAACGATCACAGTTGGTGAGCTGTCATCGTTTTTAGTGTACGCTGCCTTCGTTGGAGTTTCTATTGGAGGTTCTCTTGTTCATTGTTTTGTTAGTGCATAGGGCGTAGTTTTTAAAATGATCGTTGAAATTCTTAACCAGGAATCAGTTCCTTCTATGCAGAATCCATGAAAGGAGTGGGATCGAGTACAAGGATATTTGAATTGATTGATAGAAAACCCACCATACCAGATAAAGGTGAATCTGTGCGATTATTTTGTTAGAAAATATTTTATCGAAATGTTCATTCATATTTAATGCACCAGGTGAAATCATACCCTCCAAGCAACTTAAGGGTAACGTGAAATTTGACAACATTCAATTCTCGTATCCCCTTCGTCCTGGAGCTGGTATCCTGCACAATTTGAACTTGTATCTTCCCTCTGGTTCCGTGACTGCCATCGTTGGTCCCAGTGGATCGGGCAAATCAACGCTGGCCTCTCTTTTGTTGAGATTTTATGACCCCGTTAGCGGGTCAGTGGTCTTGGATGACATGGACATTAAAACTCTCAACACTCACTGGCTTAGAAAGAACATGTCTATTGTCAGCCAGGTTGGTGTCGTCATTGCCGTCATGCAAACAATCTGAGTGTCGTTGTTGCAATCATGAAAAAATTGTGAAGCATAAACATCTGATTTTCACAATTTAATAAATACAACTGTGTTACATTTTCGTATAAATCATCTCCTTAGGATCCAATACTGTTTTCAACTTCGATAGCCAACAACATATGTTATGGGGCATCTGATGCAGACAATGTCTCATCCGATCAGATCATAGAAGCTGCTTGTAAAGCTAATGCTCATTCATTTATTGAAAAGTTTCCACAGGGTTACGACACAATGGTAGGAGAGAGAGGCATCATGCTCTCAGGTTGCCCACACGTTTCATTGTTATAACTCTCTCTGACTCTGACATTATATATGCACATATACTTAGTGTATATTAATTTCACTGAATCTCAAGATTTTACTCACTGCGTTTCTATATGTAACTTAAATTTCCTCAAATAACTCGTACAAAATGCATTTGGATATGCCAGGCTAATCTTTTATATTTACAAAGCATATTGAACTCCGAAGTATCAGCTTAAACCTGGTACTGGAAATGAATGTGTTCAATGCACCGAATATTTGGAGTTTTTTTTTAATTGAACAGGTGGACAGAGGCAGCGAATAGCTATCGCCAGAGCAATAATTAAGGTGATCTTTTTATAATTTGTGATTTCGACTAATTAGAATACTTACGTATGAATATAGTTAGTTCATGCTTTAAATTTTCTCACTAATCTTTTTTAATTACCTTCTAATTCCGTTAAACAGAATCCAAAAATACTTATTCTGGATGAGGCAACAAGGTAATTTTTTGCATTCATTTTCTTGTTCACGTCGTTATGCAAAAAGCAATCAGAAAATTGTTCTTAGAGCTCAAGATGATTTTTATTCATTTTGGATGAAATTTTTTTCGTACTAAATGTTTTGGACCAAATATAATCCATCTGATGTATTTATAACAAAATGCGGAAAGATTTATAAAGAATGATGTAGCATCTGATGGTCCTCACATGTTTAAGTAGAGTACCTCACCAATGTGTGACTGAAAGTGTTTAAATTTAAAAATCATTTGCTGAATGAACTGTATAAATATATGTAAATATAAACTAAAAATATATTAAAATAATAAATTCAAATTAAATGCAATTATAATAATTAAAACAAAACATTCATCAAGTGCATTGGATGCCGAGAGCGAGCACTTGGTGCAGGAAGCCTTGGTGAGGGTGATGGAGGGAAGAACGGTGTTGGTCATCGCCCACCGACTGTCGACTATCAGGAGGGCCCAACAGATCGCTGTGCTCGACGGCGGCAAGGCCTGTGAGATCGGAACGTATGAAGAACTGATGAGCAAGGAGGGCGGTCCATTCAGAAAGTTGGTCGAGAGGCAGATGGGGTCCGGAGTTTATGTCAATGGTGCGATTAATGGTGGAAATGATAATTTAAATGTTGAAAGATGATGTTCTTTGAACTGGCTTCATCTTTTATGTTTTTTTAAATAATTTGTATATATCGTTTTTATTGTTCTAATCTAACCAGAAACCTGCCTGATCATTCATTAACAGCAATCATGAAACGCATCATTGAGTAGTAGAGCTTTTATGTATTTGATAAAATTAGAACATATGCTGGTTCAATAAGGTATAATAACCACAAAATGTATGATAGGTATATGTTGTTTATAATACTCAGTGTGTGTGTGTATGTATATATATATATATATATATATATATATATATATATATATATATATATATATATATATATATATATGTTGGTAATAGACCATAATTTTTACAATTTTCTATAAATTCTACCGGATGTTGGTAATAGACCATAATTTTTACAATATTCTATAAAATTCTACCGGTAGAATTTATAGAATATATATATATATATATATATATATATATATATATATTAATATCAATATATAACATCGTATTGACATGTATAATGATCTGCTCACATTGCATGAATGCAAAAAATATGCAACCGAATATATGAAAACCAAAAAAGTAAATCATGATAAATGGAACATGATGCATAAGCAACAAACATAAATATAAGATAATATTATTTCAAACCAACTTCAGAACATCAGAACAATAACAACGAAAACAATAACAAGTTTGACGATATAATGAAAAAAATATGAAATATCATGATGAGTTATTTGCACTTTGTGACTAGACAGTTACATATTTTGATTATATTTTAATATTTTAATTTTATGCCAGTGAAAATTTGTTCGATCTTACATTTTACTACGAAATTTATTATTTAATACCACCAAACTATTCTATCGTCAACAAAGTATTCACCACCACCACATTGAAAACATTATGCGAATGTATTGGAAAAGTATCAATAAATTATTAATAAAATTGCAAACCAGTGTAATAGAAATAATCTTCTTGAAATATAGAAAAATTCTCGTCAGCAATAGAAATTTTAAAAAATGTCTCAGGCGATTAATGTAAACATTAAACCAACGTTCAATAAATACGTATCTTCTATTTCACTTTGTGTCAAGCTCAAAATTTTGTAAAAGTTTTTAAAAATCTTTTTTGAATAAACAATCGCTACAAAATTGTTATACTTGCCATAGCCATGGAATTTTAGACTGGGATTGCTCTACTAACCTCAATGGAAGCAAGCAACATTTCATTGCACTTGATACAGAGATCTGATCCTGCCTTAACTCTCATTCAATGCTACGTAATCTCTCCTCCCACACCGAGGTTTTTCTTTTATAATTTAACTTTCTTAGGGTCACCAAATTGATGACCAACAGAAAAAAAACTCAACTAAAAATAAATCGCTAACAATATCATCGTTATGAGCATGACGACTGATATGAGTAACCAAATCTCCTCTATAAGCATCAAGTTAGAAGGTAGGAAAACGACACGTTGTCAAAAAAAAGATATTCAAATGGGCTCACACACGAGTTTGAACATTGAAATACAATTTGTTCATAAAATACAATACTTCGTGCTGATGAATAAAAATCGTTGTACAAGAAGAAATTATTTACGTCCGTGACAGCAGTGATAAAAGCAATTGTGATTTTGTGAGGTTAAAATACAGCGTTGACAGAACAACAATATGATTTAAATGAAATTATATGACGATGGAACGGTGATATGAAAGTTTGATGATTTCATTCACGTGATGAGATTTTTCGAGTGACGATAATACATTGATATTACGATTGTTTGATGATATATTTCATATGATACAATTTTGTGGGTGATGATAACACATTAATATCATGATTGTTTGATAATATATTTCATATGATACAATTTTGTGGGTGATGATAACACATTAATATCATGATTGTTTGATGATATATTTCATGATACAATTTTGTGGGTGACGATAGCACATTAATATCATGATTGTTTGATGATATAACTGAAACAAAACGATATGACAATGATGACATTTCAGTTCAGCGATAAAATATTTACCAACTCGGATTCACAGTGATGGCACGCCTTGCTTACTTATTATGAAATCCCAAACCTGGGAATCCTTATTGAACTCGCACGTCTGCACGTTCAGACCTCTCAATTCGAAGTCGGCGCTGTCGATGCAGAGTTCGTTATCCTCGACGTTCATGAATTTGTTGTTGCTGTACAACCAGTTCTGAAAACGTGTGTGGTGATCGATCGATTGATTGACTAATTATTCTTAACTGATGTTGATATTATTACGTACCTCATGAAATGTCGACTAAGCAACACTTCAGTGAGATTAGGAGAAATATTTTGATCGTTGCAATGGGTGAAAAATGCAACAATCGAGAAGAATTTGTTACAGAAATTTGATGAAACATTTTAACAAAACAGCACACAACACAAAATCATCCAACATATCGCATTTATGTAACAATAACAGTTGAGTGAACCGCAACGTTATCAAACAGGAACATCACCTTAGAAGACAACCTGTCACGCAACAACACACACACAATGACAAATAACACATTTCACATTGAAAAAAGGCACGACAACGAACAACGCAACACACGTCAAAACAACACACCTGTTTGGTATCATCTGGATGGCAATCTTGCAGCAGCAACGTGCTTCCTGGATGCTCGTCCACCAGTGTGATGCACAGGTCAAAATGTTTTATCTTCTTATCTCGAGTTAGTGACCAATCCTGCGGACATTCAGCTACATTTAATGAGTCATGTATCATTTGGTTTCTCTAATTCAAATGTCTCTCAGCATCGATTCATGTTGCTTCTTTTGTTAAATTCGTCTTTTAAAATGGTCGAAAATGATGAAATGAAAACTTTGAAAGAATGTTATGTCGTTCCATCAATTATACACGACACAAATCCTTCCATAGACGTTTCAACAAAACCTTCCAGACTCCATAGTCTTCACCTCAACGAAACATCCCGAGACGTCCCAACGAAACATCCCGAGACGTCGCAACAAAGCATTCCATAGATCGTTTAATACACAAAAAAAAATTGAAAAAAAAAGTCAACCTGGTTTCCACCAGTGTAATGACACGCAAACACGGTGACGATTTCATTCTTGCTGTGTCCCATTGTGTCGATGCAGAGGTCTGATTGCTTTATGAAACCAAGCTGCAAGTCCTCACTGCTTGGGATCCTGCGCGGCAATGTGGGCGTTTGTTTTGCGGTCAATGAAAGTGAAATGTGAGGATGGAGTAGTTTAAAGGAAAAATTAAAAGAGAATCACTTGAGTTCGGGGTAGACGTTCTCCAGGTACCACTTGAATGGCTTGCAGTGCAACTTGTTTCTCAACTCCAATCTACTGCTCACACTAGTTAAAAAAAATTGACAATACAACATCACGGCTTCATTGACTTCCAACTGAAGTAGTCAGTAATGAAATTAGACTTAAAAATGGGCGTTCCCGAAGTTGATTTGGAACGAGGTGAAGAACTTGAAAATTGAGACCCGATGCACCGGGGATGGAAAAAGAAGAAACCGATATCGGGGTCGGGAATTCCCGCATAATACACGTCCTACCTCGGGGAACCGGGTCTCTGGACGCAAAACGATGATTGATTGATGACGATATGCCTACAGACACTCACGCCACGCATGTTAGTAGATTTTGTAACAGAAAATAATAATTAAAGACACATCAATCTGTCAAATAGTTCAATTGATACAAGCCGCATAAACTTCTTTTACACTATCCTGTATACACAAAATTATTTGCATAAACAACGTAAACATTAAAAATGTAAAAATTGATTGAAGTCAAAATGATTAAATACAATGACAGAAATATTTTAGACTTGAAAAAAAATGAAACAGGAAGAACCGGAAGATAGATTGAAAAATAGCAGAGAACGAACTCTCCATAGTGAACAGTCCTTGCAATGGGCACAGTGGCGTAGTAGTACATCTTGTATTCATCCATCCACACTTCGGCTGCTCTTCTCGTGTTTCTGGAAAAAAAATATTTCGACTTCATTTATCGAAACCCTATCTCAACCATATTTCCTCTCGGCTTTTCCACTGCAAACTTTTTCTTTTTCATCATCTTCAACTCCACACTCATGTGCACACGCACACACACACAGGTACACACAAACACGCACTAACTTAATAACAACATTGCCACCACCTCCAGGAAACGTATATGGATGTTGTTTGCGAAAGACGTGACCCACTCGACTGCATGGTAGAATCTCCAAACTTCCATGACACTGCCATATACGGAATGATATCTCTGTGGTATTTCAGATGGTACTCATTAAATTGTATTGATTGAGATGGTATTTTTTACGTGGTATCCATTAGGTGGTGCCCATTGGATGGAGTATTAATTAGATGGTGTTCGCTGAGATGCTATTTGGATTTAATTGAGATAGTAGCATCCACAATCAGATGTTATTTAAACAGCTAACTAACTAACTTACAAAAAAGGAAAACCAACCAAATAATTATCTAATTTCACAACTAACATACCAATTAGTCAGTCAACCAACCAACCAACCAACCAACCAACCAACTAATCAACCAAACAACCAACCAACCAGCCAACCAACCATCCAACCAAACAACCAACCAACCAACCAATATTTTCTCCTCCCCACACATCCATCAAAGTGTCATACTTTCCGATTTCTTCAAAAAAAGATTTGTCGATGGCAAACAATCCGCCAGCAATGACCGGTGTCCTGCGCGTGCATTGTATCATTTATTGGCTGCTTGTCGTGTTGTGTCTGGTCCTCCATGCAACAACAGAGACACCAATAATAATTCATTAAAAAATATATAACAACAATAAAATGAAGTAAAAACGTTATTGAATATTGTTACAAGTGGTTTGGAGCTTATAATTTACATATGTAATTAATTCAATAGCAGCCTATATTTTATGATATCAGAGCTCATTATTGTTTTGTCTGCTGTATATATTAAAGGTAGGAAATTCATCGAGTAAGAGTTCTCTAAAACTTTTAAAATGCATCTGCGTTGGTTGATCACAAATAAATCAATTGAAAGAAAAAACAGTTATTATCAATTAGATGTAAAATATACACAGCCAAAAAAGCAGAAACGTAATTGAATTTGAAGTAATTGCAAAACAAAACGAAACAACAAAAAAAATGGAGGAAAGTTGATTGAGGTGGACGGACAGACTTGATGGGAGATGTGGGATTGTTCAGTTGGGTGTTCAACTCGTTCTTAGTCAGGAAGTCCCACTTGAACACCAGGTTCCAATCAAAGCCACCTTTCAGATTGGAAGAGGCAGCAATGTATTGAAAGTTGTCTGTGCTTATGACGTCAATGATCGGACTCACCACTCTTGTCCTATTCTTTGTTCGATCAGGGATTCATCAATAAAAAACAATTCTGTACAATTTGATATAACAATATTTCCAATAAACATCTGCGACAACATCATCAACATAACGTTAGCAGAGCATCACATAAAATTGGACATCAACCTCTGCAACTCTTTGCAGTAGTGGTTCCAACCATCCAACATTACATTCACAATGACTGTCCAGGAAGACCAGCACATCTCCTGTCGCCATGTTGGCCCCTCTAACTCGAGATCTGATCAAACCTGCATCAACAACATCCACATTGTTTAGAACAGTGAGACAAAAATCTTACTACAAAACCAAATAGTCTCATCAAAGAGTCATTGGAGTACTAATAAAAACATCAGTATTTAAATTGATTATGATGAAATCATAATTAATTAAATTAATTAATTTAATTAATCAGCTACCCTGCCTCTTCTCATTTCTCAAAATTCTCAACTTTTTAATCTTCATCAGATCTGTACCATCATCAACTGAAAATATTAATTTTTTTCTCCATTATATAAAAATTATTAGGAAAGAAAATGATGTTAGCATGAACACGAGTAAGATTTCATGTTGAAAAGTGCTCCGCAGAACATTTTTATACAACTCTTCATTGTCAATAATGTAAATTATTACGCCTAACAAGCTTCATTTGAATCATAATTTTCCAGTATCACATCATCTCTTAACATACATCAGCACAATCTGACAACGTTTCAAAACATACATCAGCACAATCTAATGATCTATCTTAATGGTTGTAAGAGAAAAAACATTTTAAAACTAAAGATCATCAGTAATAATACCATGAATACATTCAAATATTTTAGAATTATTATCATTATTATTATTAATAATACTATAATGGTACATAGCTATTATTTTACCAGCACAATTTCAAAACATTAAAAAATCCCACAGACCACTTTCACTAGAGTCATCCACAACAATGACTTCGGCTATCAAACTGTCTGGACTTCTGTTGAAAACACTGAAACATAATTTTTCATAAAAATTATTACATTGACAAATTCATTATTATATTCCTTGTATAAAGTTTAGTGCTAGAAAATTTAAAACCCATAAAATGAATAAATAAATAAAATTTGTGTGGAAATAAAAAAACATTTATTATGAATACCTAGCAATAGTGCGAATCAATGTAGACCTTGCTTCATTGTGGTAAGTTATAATTATACTGGCCAATGGAAGCTTATCTACATCATAATGAACACTATGACATCTGCAAGTCGAATAGAAACATTTTTTCAAAGTTTAATGAAATGATCACTGATATTTATAATTTTGTGTTTGAAATTACTGAGAGTGTCTTGTATCAGGAATGTCTCTTGTCATTCCAATGTTATCGCTGGCCTCCTGGTTGAATTTATGCTTCAAAAATGCATCTTGCTGCTGCACTAGTTGGGTTTTTTCTAAATATTCTTTAGCATTAAATTCTGACAATGGCAACCTATCATCTTTAATGGTGGGTCTCACTCGATAAGAATGCTTTGAATTCCAAAAAATAGAGTCAACAATATGCTGGCTTTTCAAATTTTCCTGTAACATTCAAGTTTTAAATTTGTACTGCTATCATAAGATTAGATTAAATTAAACATTAAAATTTAATTAATGACTAAATTAAATTATTATTAATATTTAATTATGATTTATTTAATTAATAACTTCTTAATTAATTATTCCAAATTGCTAATAATGATCAGGATCTCCACAACATCATTCAATGTAATAAAATATAATTATAATTTATAATTATAATAAATAAAGAACAAAAAAATTACATTTTAATTTTATTAATTTAATTTAAATATTAAAATAAATTAAATTACATTAATTAAATTAAATTAAAAAATTGAAAATTGCAAAAAAAACCAAGAACCAAGAAAAAACACTAACCTCCGGATTAAAAACATAAAAATAAAACAAGAAAGTGACAACCACCAAGGCGATCAACAGAAAAATTCTCGAATTACGTTTCATTCTTTTTTTTAAATTTAAAATGAAAACGAAACACTAAGACTACAACAAAATCCACTTTTTGCCACAACAGCGGTGCGACTAAAACTTCAAATTTTGTAACATTTAAAAAAAATCACATGGATAAACCATATAAGAATAAATATAACGGCCTTCGCTCATTTTTGACGGTCGAACAAAGAGCTTACTTTCGGAGGGAAGTTGGAAGGTGATTTTTTATCGCCCAAGTCAAAAGTTACGATCGTATATTTAATAATTTCTGAATATTGCTTTTATTTAAAATTTCAAAATGTTTTAAAAGGTGATACTAGATGCTGTTTTAGGATAGATATTGCTGTATGACGGGGTAATCTCGGAGACGGCAAAGTGGTTTTTCCAGCAATATTTATTTATAGTCAACAGTTTAAAGAGACTCATAAGATCCTCCCACGGTACAACTAAGTTAAACTAAATAATAAAAGCTTATAATAAAAGTTAAAAATAAAAATTTTAAACCAATTTTTACTAGAAAAACCACAAAACCTCTATAAAATATGATACATTACAAAATGTGTAACAAAATTTTAAACGTATCTGTTAAAAAGATAGTTTCACTTTTAAAACAAATTATTAATTTTTAGAAACTTGCTTCCAGAGGTAACTTGCCATTGAAAAATTTTTCAATGTTAAAACGCTGGTAGGGCGCTTCCAGTTATATAATTCCATGATTTTTACTTCATAATCGGCGGATAGATCTATTTAGTTTTAGAAATTGAACTATAACATTTCTCAACGGGTACAAAGCAAGGGGAGGCCTATTTACCAGCATACAACACCTTCTTATGGGTTGAAGCGGAGATATGCAAAGAGCCTCAATTTTTTCAACTTTTAATTATTTTCAGTAATGTCTCCCCTTGCTCCAAACCACATAACTAGAATAATAGGACTAATCGATCAATTCGATCTATCGGTCGGGCTATTTGTCGTGCTTGGATTGTTGGCTTACGAAATTGCATGGATTTTAACGAGCAAGCTAAATGAGATATTTACTTGATTTAATATGCTTAAAACATTGTAGTAATTCTATTTAATTTTAATAATGATTAATAGAATTACGTATTATTAAATTATTTTTGTTAATTTGAATATAAAAATTGCTTTTGGTCCGGTGAATTCCGGTGGCTTACTGAAACCGAAGGTTGGCTTAGTAGGATTGAACCATAGTCACCCTTTTTTTTACACTATTCGATCATGTTAAAAATTGGTTTGCTTATGAAATAAACGGCCTAAATAAATCAAAATTGTTATTTGAACAACTATCTTCATTATATTCAATGAATATTTTACATTCTGCTGGTGCTCATAAGAAACTGGCTGCTGAAATCATACGTTGGCTTACAGCAGTGGCTTACAGGGTTTCATAGAACTCTTACGATAGCACTTTTTTGTACATATAATGCTTTAAATAAATCAATATATTCATATCACAATTATTTTTGTCAATATAAATATAGAAATTGCTTTTGTCAGATGAAAAAGCCGTAGGTTGGCTTAATCGGATTTTTTCTCATGTATACAATACTATGAGATAAATCAATCAAACAATCAGTCAGTCGGTCGGTCGGTCAGCCAGCCAACCAGCCGTCATATATGTATATATATATATAAAGTAAGGAAGAGAGAGAGAGAGAGAGAGAATGAGACAAGAGGTATGCGTAAAAAATAACGTTTCAATAAATAGATAAAAATATACAATACACATACACGCACACACACACAAACAAACTCACACACACACACACACACACACACACACATATATATATATATATATATATATATATATATATATATATATATATATATATATAACGCTTGTATTAAAAGAAGAATGCAAGCTTTTGAAATGCATAATGAGAACAACTATTTTTATTTCGTTGTTGTTGTTGTATTTATTATTATATTGTTGCTATTGTTGTTCGTTGATGGTGGTTGTGATTATGATGATCGTCATCATAGTTAACAAGATTAACAGTATAGCATATTTAAAATACATTGACAGAAATGACATGAATGTTTATTGTACTGCGTATATATGATGGCAGTATGTATGTATGCGTGTATGTATGTATGTTTGTATGTATGTGTGTCTGTGTCTCTTTGTACATGTTTGTATTCGAGATTTTAGTATGAAAAGAAAAACACAACAGTTGCTTTTATTTGACATCATCAAAAGATGAAAAGTGACAAAATTAAAATTTGTTAAATGTCAATTTTTTAAAAAGTTCAGATTTTAAACAAACAAATATAACAAAATATCGATCGATAAAAAATAATTATCACGAAACATGAATATTTAGTAAGGACAGTTCACAGCATATCATAATGACTAAACCAACATACCAAACAGAAATTATTCATGCATGCATATATACAAAGTAAATCAGGAAATATCCAAAAATTATATAACCAAAATAAGAAACTAGAAACCAGTCAACATTTTACAAAAAAATAAATAGACATTATTAAAAAGATTGTTCAAAAATGGTAAAATTTAAGGCGACGACAAAAAAATTGTAGTTTGTTTTGTTGGTGTTGTGCGGTGCTAAGAAGCGAAAACAAACACACCACAAAAAAAATATTAAAAAGTCGCAAGAATAGTAGTCAGTCACCTACCTACAATTAAATTACTCTCAGGGCCCTAGCTTACCTGTAATGATAACTCAACTCATTTATTTTACATATTTCAACGTTTTAATTTTACTTGAAGCTTTTAATTTATGTTAATGTTAATATTTTACTTGAAACTTTTTAACTAATGTTAAGCCCTAGCCTACCTATAGTTGTTCAACTCATCTCAATCCCTAACTTACCTATGAATTAAATTAAGTCCGGTAAAGAAAATAGAAAGTTGAAGAGAAACATAACAACGACACCGAATGAATGGATGTTGTGTATGTGTGTGTTGTATTTATGTGTGTGCGTGTATGTAAATGTGCGCGCGCGTACCCTCCAGAAACTTCTTCACCCACTACGGACGAACCTCCTTTGCACCGACCATCGTCTGACACGCACTGAGGAAATGAATTTTACCGGATACTGAAAAACAAAATTGAAAGAAAAAGTTAATTTTTTAAAATAAAAAACAAGCCATTGAAAAAAAGTAAGGAGCAACTTATCTTACCATGAGATTACCATCATGAAACGTGCTGACTCCCACCACAACCCACCTCTGATCATTCTGTAGACAAATTTTTTTTATTGGCTTAGTAGTAAATGAATGTTAAAACGAAAGAACAAACGAATAAATGATTGAGCGAATGATTGAGTGATTGAATGAATTAATTAACCAATCTATGATTCAATGAATGAATAGAATGAGTCAATTAATGGATGAATGAAAGATTGTGTGACAAAATGAATGAATGAAAAAAAAAACAACGAAACTAAACCATACTTCAAAAATCGGCGTTGTTGTTTTCTTCGAGTTGTTATCGGAACGATCATCATGAGACCACCATCTGAAACGTGCTGACGCCCACCACTGCCCACCTCTCATCCGTCTGTAGACAAGTTATTTTTATTAGCTTAGTAGTAAATGAATGTTAGAATCTTAGAAGCAAAAAATTATAAAATGGAAATAATGGCAAATAAATAATATTTGAAAATAATAAAGAGAGTAAAATGTAAAAAAAAACTTACCGTCGTCCATTCGACAAAGGCAAAATGATGAGTGCCTTCCGTTTCCTGCGTTGTCCTCCAAAACTGGTGCAAGTCCTCCTCGAGATTGTTGTTGAAACACAGCCCGTGGAATTGAGAAAGAGAAAATTCTCATCAGAAAGCTTAGCGGTGCCTGCATCTTAAATTGCTTAATAAAAATAATCCTATCTACCTATTCAATTACCTTAACTAATCTATAATAAATTGTTAATGGTACGATAGTCGAAAGTTCCCCTTCATTCACCATCCTTGCACAGAGGTTCACCGACAGCCAGGGCACCGGATAGTAAACCATTGCCGTGCGGATAGTAGACTATTGCCGTGCGGATAGTAAACCATTTGCCGTCCGGAAGCCGTGCGGGTAGTAGACTATGGCCATGCCGCATAGTAAATCATTACCGTGCAGATAGTAAACCATTGCCGTCCGGATAGTAAACCATTGCCGGTTCACCACTGGCCGCCAAGGCTTACCTCTGACAAGAGACTTCGAAATTCAGAGTCTATCGGCTATCGTACCCTCAACTTACCTATTCATTACAATTAAGCCCTAGCTTACCTAAAATTACAAAACTCAAGAGCCCAATTCATTGGCCTTTCGGCACCCACCCCACCACCTACGTAATGCCTTGGGCTCCAACTTAGTAATAATAATATAAAACTTAAACCCTAAATCTATTAATGAGTATGTGTTACAAAGTAGCCTTAACCTACCTATTCATTACATTACAGTCCTAGCTTACCTAAAATTACAAAACTCAAGAGCCCAATTCATTGGCCTTTCGGCACCCACCCCACCACCTACGTAATGCCTTGGGCTCCAACTTAATAATGATAATGTAAAACTTAACAATTAACCTACCTATCGATACACT